TGATCCGAGGTGAAACAGTTTCATTCTGAAACCATGTCCCCGAACCCCCCATCTGTGGAAAAAATTATCTTCCACAAAACCAGTCCCTGTTTCCAAAATGCTTGGGGACCACTGTTCTAGAGCCAGGAAGAGTTAACTGGAAGCTGGATGATGGGTGCCATTGCTAGCTTTTCTTTTTATCCACATTCCTCTTTTGGTTTATTTGCTGGCCCCTCTTCCTCTGCCTTGCCCTAAATGTTGGCATGCCCCATGCAGTGGTCTTGAGCCCTCCTCATTCTCTTATCTACACTCTCTCTGTAAGCATCCACATCCAGATCTTCCTGATGATAACTCCCCAGTGAATATCTGCAGTCCAGGCCTCTTCTCTGACCCGACTAATGTGCCCACTCTCTATAGCACCACTGAGATGCCTTATAGGCATCTCAAACTTAACATGTCTAAAACAGAACTTTTTGTTTCAGCCGCTGTACAAACCTGCTTCTCACACAGACTTCTCTTCTGCAGTCAATTTACGCAAGACACTTACTCAATAAATATTTATTAAGCACCTGCTATCGCAGTGAACAAAACAGACAAAGACCCTGCCTTCCTAAAGCTTACATTCTGCTGCTGGAAAACCTATAATAAACAGAAAAAATAGCTAAATTACATCATACATTAGAAGATAATAAGGGCTAAGGAGAAACCCAGGAAGAGGTACAGTGTGCAAGGGATGAGGACTAAAATTTTTAAAAGAGCAAGAAGAAGAGCAAGAGATGAAATCAGACAGGCAACAGGGGCTGGGCTGTGAGCTTTTATCCTGAGGAAGATGGGGGACTTTGAACAGAACCAGGATGCGAGTAGATTGCCAATCTAATAGGAATACCCCAGCTGCTGTGAATAAACTAAAGAGGGGCAGTAAGAATGAAAGCAGGGAGACCCATTAGGGAACTCTTGTTATAGTCCAGGTAAGAGATGATGGATAATGGGGAGTTGGACTAGGAGACCATGGAAAATTGATAAGATAGGGTCAGATTCTGGATATATTCCGAAGGGGTTGTGTTTCTACCATCCACCCAGGTTCTTAGGCCAAAAATCTCAGTCTCATCCTTGATCCTTCCCTTTCCTTCATATCCCATATCTAATCCATCAGCAAGTCCTTGTGTTTCTGTTTCCAAAATGTGCCAAAGTCACAGTTCCTGTCCATCTTTACCACCCCCACGTCAGCTAAACCACCTGGGTTTACATCTCACCTGGATCACTGCAATACCCTCTACCCTGATCTCACTCTCACCTGGATCACTGCAATACCCTCTACCCTGATCTCACTCTCACCTGGATCACTGCAATACCCTCTTACCTGATCTCACTCTCACCTGGATCACTGCAATACCCTCTTACCTGATCTCACTCTCACCTGGATCACTGCAATACCCTCTACCCTGATCTCACTCTCACCTGGATCACTGCAATACCCTCTACCCTGATCTCACTGCTTCCTTTTTTGTCCCCTGGAATCTACTCTTCACAAGCAGCCAGAGGGATCATTTTTAAGCTTAAATCATATCATAGGATGCCCCTGCTTGTGATCCTTTAAGAGCTTTGCAATGAACTAAGAATACAGGCCAAAATCCATACTGAGAACTACACAGGCTGGCATGGGCTGCCCTCTGATGACTTCTCTGTTCTCAACTCTTTCCCTCTTTCTCATGATCGCCCTGCTCCAGCCACACAAGGCTCCTTCCTGTTGCTCAAACACCAAACTCCTTCTTGCTTTGGAGCCAGAGCTTTCCCCTCTGATGGGGTCAGTGTACCCCAGCTTGTTGCATGACTGGTAGCCTATCAACCATCGAATATCAGCTCAATCATCACCTCTTCATAGAAGACCATCCTGAGAACTTTCATCTAGTGCAGATAGTATACTATATATACTAACTATAGCTAGTACAGTCCACCACACTGTGTAAACAGAAAGCTCACGATCTTGAGCAGGAAGCTGCCCTTTAGAAATCCCTGTATCCATACTACAAGGATGTCCAGGTCTCTTTTTATCCAATAGTAGGGAGGACTGAGGACCAGAGGGGAAGTATGAGTCTCCAGACACCAAACAGGAGATGATGGCAACCACCACCTTTCCCTCATGACATCTTGTGGGAGGGAATTACTTCAGGCAGCTGGGAGCCAAGAGTTTTCCTTTCTCCTCTCTCACTCAAGAAGTTATGGCTCGGTACAGTGGCTCACACCTGTAATCCAGCACTTCGGTAGGCCGAGGCGGTGGATCATTTGAGGCCAGGAGTTCAAGACAAGCCTGGCCAACATGGTGAAACCCCATCTCTACTAAAAATACAAAAATTAGCCGGGTGTGATGGCAGGCACCTTTAATTCCAGCTACTTGTGAGGCTGAGGCAGGAGAATCACTGGAATCCAGGAGGTGGAGGTTACAGAGAGCCAAGATTGTGCCACTGTACTCCAGCCTGGGTGACAGAGCGAGACTCTGCCTCAAAATCAATCATGCTATCCTCCCGCCGCCCAAGATGCCGAAAGGAAAGAAGGCCAAGGGAAAGAAGGTGGCTCTGGCCCTTGCTGTCGTGAAGAAGCAGGGGACCAGTAAAGTGGTGAATCCCGTTTGAGAAAAGGCCTAAGAATTTTGGCATTGGACAGGACATCCAGCCCAAAAGAGACCTCACCCACTTTGTGAAACGGCCCCACTATATCAGGTTGCAGCAGCAGAGAGCCATCCTCTATAAAGTGCCTCCTGTGATTAACCAGTTCACCCAGGCCCTGGACTGCCAAATAGCTACTCAGCTGCTTAAGCTGGCCCACAAGTACAGACTAGAGACAAAGCAAAAGAAGAAGCAGAGGCTGTTGGCCTAGGCCGAGAAGAAAGCTGCTGACAAAGGGGACGTCCCCACTAAGAGACCACCTGTCCTTCGAGCAGGAGTTAACACCGTCACCACCTTGGTGTAGAACAAGAAAGTTCAGCTGGTGGTGACACATACGATGTGGATCCCATCAAGCTGGTTGTCTTCTTGCCTGCCCTGTGCAAAATGGGAGTCCCTTACCGCATTACCAAGGGGAAGGCAAGACTGGGACGTCTAGTCCACAGGAAGACTAGACCTGCTCCACTGTTGCCTTCACACAGGTTAACTCGGAAGACAAAGGTGCTTTGGCTAAGCTGGTGGAAGCTATCAGCACCAATTACAACGACAGATACGAAAAGATCCACCATTACTGGGGTGGCAATGTCCTGGGTCCCAAGTCTGTGGCTTGCATCGCCAAGCTTGAAAAGGCAAAGGCTAAAGAACTTGCCACCAAAACTGGGTTAAATGTACACTGTTGAGTTTTCTGTACATAAAAACAATTAAAATGATACCAAAAAAATCAATCAATCAATAAAAAGAAGTTGTGTAGCACCTTTTCTTTTTTTTTCCCATTGTAAAATATGGCTGGGCATGGTGGCTCACTCCTGTAATCCCAGCACTTTGGGAGGCTGAGGTGGGTGGATCATTTGAGGTCAGGAGTTTGCAACCAGCCTGGCCAACATGGTGAAACCCTGTCTCTACTAAAAACACTTAGCCAAGTATGGTGGTGCACACCTGCAATCCTAGCCACGTGCGAGGTTTAGGCAGGAGAATTGCTTGAACCCAGGAGGTGTAGGCTGCAGTGAGCCAAGATCACACCACTGCACTCCAGCCTCAGTGAGAGAGGAAGGCCATGTCTCCAAAAAAAAAAAAAAAAAAAAAAAACTCATGCCTGTAATCCCATCATTTTGGGAGGCCGAGGTGGGTGGATCACAAGGTCAGGAGTTTGAGACCAGCCTGCCCAAGATGGTAAAACTTCATCTTTACTAAAATTACAAAAATTAGCTGGGCACGGTGGCGCATGCCTGTAATCCCAGCTACTCGGGAAGCTGAGTCAGGAGACCCAGGAGGTGGAGGTTACAGTGAGCCCAGATCACACCACTGCACTCTAGCCTGGGCAACAGCGAAAGACTCTGTCCCCCCCCAAAAAAAAAAAAAGTGCCATGCATAGAAAAATTGGAAAATAATTAGAGAAAAAACGACTACCCCAGCCACTCGGGCATAAAATATGTTAACATTCTGGTGCATTTCCTTCAACTGTCTTCTATGTTTTTAATAGTTATGAATTCATATATATTTAATACTAATAATATTATTAATGTTCTATGTAATCACTTTTTATGCAAATTATTTCATTGGTTTTCTGATATTTTCACAAGTTTACATAATATATTTAATCAAGTGCCTGTTAAAAAATAAAACTCACGGCCGGGCGCGGTGGCTCAAGCCTGTAATCCCAGCACTTTGGGAGGCCGAGGCGGGTGGATCACGAGGTCAAGAGACTGAGACCAACCTGGTCAACATGGTGAAACCCCGTCTCTACTAAAAATACAAAAAATCAGCTGGGCATGGTGGTGCGTGCCTGTAATCCCAGCTACTCAGGAGGCTGAGGCAGGAGAATTGCCTGAACCCAGGAGGCGGAGGTTGCGGTGAGCCGAGATCGCGCCATTGCACTCCAGCCTGGGCAACATGAGTGAAACTCCGTCTCAAAAAAAAAAATAAATAAAACTCACAATCTTTCATGGGAGTTAAAATAAGCACGTACTCATTAAACAAGTCCACAGATCAGTAAATGAGGTGAGCACTCTTGAAGCAGAGGGCTATCTATACCGTCAGGGCCAGAAGGGCCAGTCTCTCATTTGACGCTTGAATTCCCTGGCAATGTCCATGTGATGTGTGCTTGACACCTCTGCTGGACAGCTTTGGAACTGAATCTTATTCTGAGCTGAAGTGTGTTTTCTCTATAGCTGCTACATTTTAGTGCCTCATAAAGGAAGCATAAAGCAAACAGAATTCCTCTTTTAGAGAACAGTCCTAGTCTTCCGGGGCATCTCTCACAGCCCGAAATTCCCAATTTTTCCGACAGGCCCGTTCTCCCATCCCAAGATTCCTTCCAAAGCACTCTCCTCTGAAGGTGCTTCCACTGGTTTTCTCTCTTACCTTCCGGCGACCACAAGTGACCCCAGCAGTCCAGGTGGGGTCGGGCTGACGGGACCAAGTGGACACCCCTCCTTTTCGCAGGGTCTTTTCCTTCTTAGCAAAGCGGCCCACGATCCTCCATCCGCTCCTCAGAGAGCCTCCCTGCCCTTTCTGTCCGCCACATCTCCCTTGCTACACTACCTCCCCGTCTAGTGCCTAACAGGTGGACCTGACAGAGTAGTTTCTCAAAAGGTGCTGGAAGGGTCAAACAATGCATAATTCGTGCTGTGCAACCCTCAGATTCCCATCCCTAGTGGGAATTTGGAAGTCGAAATCCAGTCCGCGGTCCCGCCATCTCGGCGTTGCTTCAATTAGCCCCGCTCAGTCTCAACCTGTCTCGCCTTTCCCTTTTCTCGCCACCCCTTCGATCTGGGTTACCTCTCCGGTGCCTATATTCCTTAACGTTTCCCTATATGCTGTCCTAACTAGGAAAATCTTACTTTCCGCTGTTAGTAAAGTATTTACACCTTCGGGATTATGGCCACGCCCCCTTCATGCACGTTGCCAAGACGAACCGGAAGAAGTTGCCAGCCCCTGGTTCGTAACCCGGAAGTAGATGTACCTCACGGAAGCCGGCTTTGGCCCTGCGGCTGCTACCGTCGCCGCGGAGAAATTGTTGGAGCTGGCAGTCTAGGAATGGTGAGACCTCGCGGTTCGCCTCTGAGGGTTCTTAGAGGAGTTGGGGGTGAAATGGAGTTTTCCAGAGTGCCGCCGGGGACGACCCCCCCAGGTTTGGGGCCCCGCCCCAGTGGCGCCCCGAAAAGCTGCGCATGCGTGGGCCGACAGGGTTAGAAGCTGGCTCGAGGTGTTACGCATGCGCAAAGGCAAGGAGCGTGTGGGGTGAGAATGGGCTTGCGAGTTGACCCCCACTTCCCCAGCCACGAGCCTGTGGGTCTCAAACCAAGGTTATTTGGTGCTCTGCTTTGAGTTGCAGAGGTGACTTCATCACTGCTCCTACCTCGAGTTCTTGAGACAGACATGGACTGATCCCCCACCTTGGGTGTGCACTCAGGGGAGAACGAGGGGCGGAGAGCCAGGGAAGGAAGGGGGCACAGACCCTACCTCAGTTTGCCGGCAAGCTCGGGCTCCTTCGCCTTATCCTCAGATATCAAGATTCCCAGCCGTAGCCTATGGAGCGGAGAGCGACAGGCTCACCTGGGGAGCCTCTTAGCGCAGGCCTAGAACATTGCGCTAAGAGCCACCCTGGTCAGAAGGAGCCGGGACCCATGGGAGGAGCGCCCCGAGAAAATCCAATACCTGGGTTCTCCAGGGATTGTGGAGGCATAGGGTAGTTGATAATCACGCAGTTCCCAGACAGTCGTTTTTGGTTTCCACGAGATGGTATCTCATGGAAACACCACGAACTAAATCTTCAGTAAAAACCGCAAGTAAAAAATCAACCACAACAACAACAAAACCAACAAGATGGACTGGTTGGAGTTTTGGCTCCCTTTCCTTTTCCCTGCTTTGGTCTGGGCGGGGAAGGCTGGTGCTACTGAGCTGAGTGGGCAGCTGAAGTAAAGAAAGAGTGGGCTAAGGAATCCCTTGTCTCTTACTTAGTTTATAGTCAAGACCCTTAACCTAGGAGATACCAGTAGAATTAGAGGATCCGTGAACCCCCTAAAATAGTATGTGTTTGCACAGTTTTCTGGAGTCCATAGCTTTTATCATACTCTGAAAGGTGCCAGTGACCTTCACAAGAGTGATACATATAAGGCTAATATTGGCAGAGGAGGGCCGTATGCCTCTTTCCTCTCCTTGTGTCTTGGCTTATGGGACCCTGAGGGACCTCAGCCAGTATAAGGAAGTGAGGCTGGCCAGTTGGAAATCTGAGCCTCAGGGAGCCTCATTTCTCCTTTGCAGAATCTCCTCTCAGCCTTTAAGCTCACCTGGTCAGAATTCTTGGATGAACCCGTGGGACCCTTCCTCCTAGCCCTGTGGTTTGGAACCAGTGGCTTTGGGACTGTAAGAGGATGGACAAAGGTAGTATGAGGCTGGGACAGCTCCCCAAATGCCCGGGTGCCAAGCATCTGCTGATTCCACCCTGTGCCTGGCATGTGTGTCTTTCGGTCCTGGCTAGGCCTTGCCACCTCCCCCTGGGCCAGCACCACCCATGTACCTGTCGGCAGAGCCACAATTGACTGACTTGCTGTTGAGCTGCTGCTCTTTGGCATGGCTGCATTTTGATGGCAGAGGGAGCAGTTATGCCCAGAGCCCAGTGTGTCGGCATCACCAGTCTGACCTGAGCACCATGTGCTGCACGACATGACACGTGGCACCGGGGGAACTGCCCAGCGTGGAAGGTCTGGGCCAGGTCTGAGCCCAGATGGGATCTGGATGGCCAAGGAACTCTACCTTAAAACCTCAAATGTCAAAGAGGCAGGGGAGGGGGCTGGGAGGAGTCCCATCTGCAGAGGCCCTAGGCTCTTGGGAGGCCCGAATCCACCATTTCTCTCTTTCCAGATTCTCAGGGGCTGCTAGATTCATCCCTGATGGCATCAGGCACTGCCAGCCGCTCAGAGGATGAGGAGTCACTGGCAGGGCAGAAGCGAGCCTCCTCCCAGGCCTTGGGCACCATCCCTAAACGGAGAAGCTCCTCCAGGTAGTAAGGGTTCAAAGAGCCAGGAACTGGGAAAGGATAGAAGGTCTGTGGCGTTAAGTGCCACATGCCTCCACCTCTTTTGGGAATGGCTGCCTGAGTCCCTCTGGGACCTTAGTATTGGCAGAGCCTTGTGCTTTTCCTGTCCCTAAATCTTTCTGGGGCAGGGGAGGCAGATCTTAGGTCTCTGACATGAAGTCCTTGTGGTGTGATCCCGTCGTCTCAGAGGGCTGGAGTGTAGCAGTTCTATGGCCACTGAGCCAGGCTGTGGTGTAAAGTGAAAGTAGGCTGGAGCAGCTAGCACCCTACTGGGCATGTGGTGTGTTTTGGGGGCTGGGTGTGTGTGAATGGGCACCAGGGTGGGGTAAGGAGTGTTCACTGGGCAGGACCCTTTACAGGTTCATCAAGAGGAAGAAGTTCGATGATGAGCTGGTGGAGAGCAGCCTGGCAAAGTCCTCTACCCGGGCAAAGGGGGCCAGTGGCGTGGAACCAGGGCGCTGTTCAGGGAGTGAACCCTCCTCCAGTGAGAAGAAGAAGGTGAGGGATTGGGAGACTTAGGGGATGGGAGGGGAGGTAGTGCCAGATTTCATGTTTCCCCAGAACCTTTGCCAGCTGCCAAGAGCCCTGCAGAGGAGGCTGGTGAGATGACCAAGCTGCCTCAGCCCTCATCTCAGATGCCTCTTTCCTGGGAACCCATCCCTCGCTACTCCCCATTTCTTGCTGCAGCCCCCACCCCCAACCCTGCCAATGCATCCTGTATCACATTCCGTGTGGGAGGCATGGAGCATACATCTATTCTGGGAGCAGACAGCCTGTTCCCAGCATTGCAGAGTGTAAAAATAACTCCCAGGTGGCATTGCTGTGGCCCTAGACACTGCACCAGCAAGAGTGATTTCCCAGTATCCTCTCCATCCACCTTTCACTCTGGGGTTAGGGGTACCACCAGCAAAGAGAAGACCCCCTGTGGTCAAGGACTATGTGGAAGTAACTTGGTGGGATGGGGGTGGGTATTAGAAAGCTGAGCTCCTTTCCTGTGCTTCATGTTGTGGGCTGGGGCTGGTGCTGGGGCTGCCACTGCCACAGAGTATGTGAAAGTCTAGTCATGAAGCCCCAGCTGACTAGATGCTGGCTTTGAGCTTGGTTTATTCCTGTCCTCTGCCCAGGTATCCAAAGCCCCCAGCACTCCTGTGCCACCCAGCCCAGCCCCAGCCCCTGGACTCACCAAGCGTGTGAAGAAGAGTAAACAGCCACTTCAGGTGACCAAGGATCTGGGCCGCTGGAAGCCTGCAGATGACCTCCTGCTCATCAATGCTGTGCTGCAGGTAGTGCCTCCCACCATAGGCTTAGTATCCCCCTTTCCCGCAGCCTCCAGTTCCCAGCCCCAACACTAGCCCAACAGGGCCCCATGGGTGGCAACGAAGGGTTCTTCCCAGCTCCAAGGCTGGAGCAAACCCTCTGGGGCCTTGCAGACCAACGACCTGACATCTGTCCATCTGGGTGTGAAGTTCAGCTGCCGCTTCACTCTTCGGGAAGTCCAGGAGCGCTGGTACGCTCTGCTCTACGATCCTGTCATCTCCAAGTGAGTGGTAGCTGGTTCCAGCAGTGGGGAGGTACTAGGGACACCAAAATGTGGGTCCTGGAGCAGAGGGAACTGTAGCAAGGCCCCATGAGGGGTGTGGGAGGCAGGACTCCTGGAGGCTCCTTAGGGTGATACTGAGCCCTGAGAGCCTTCAAAGAGAGGTTTCTTCCTGCCTCCAGGCAAGGGAGTCTGAAGGCAGAGGGAGGAGCATGGGAGAGAAGACTAAAATGAGTGCCAGGAGCTCACTGTGTGCATTGTGGCTTTGGGTGGGTCACCTCCTAGCCTTTCCACACTGACGTACAGTTTCTCCCTCCTAACAAGGGGGAGTTGAATAGAAGAACACCAAGCCCCCTTCTAGCTCCAGTAGCCAGGCTTCCAAATAAACTCAGGTACACATGCAACACACACTTCCTCCTCCTCAGCCACTTAGTTTAATGTCTTCAGAGCTTGGTTGGATGCTAAACCCCCATCTTCTCCACAGACCCTGGCACCACTTAAGTTGTAGCCACAGTTCTGATATACCAGGAAATGGGCTGGGCTCAGCTTGGAAAGAGGAGGTGGTAGGCAGTGGCTCAAGGGTGGCAGCTTTGGCCAAGTAAGGAGGAAGGAGTTGGAGGGAGCAGCAGCTGGTCCGAGTCTCTGCCTCAGGACTGGGTCTGCTGGGGGACATAGGAGCCTCCGTTTTCTGAGTTGGCTGTTCATTCACTTGACAGACCTACAGAGCCACAGGTCATCTGCTAAACCTGAGGCCCTTCCTAATGAGGGCCTGGCCTCTAGGTTCTGGATGTCAAAGGCCTGCAGGTTCAGGGGAAATATAAACTGCAGATTGCTTGACACCCTTTCTTCAGCCCTCCCCTCTGTTTCTTCCTGTGTCCAGGTTGGCCTGTCAGGCCATGAGGCAGCTGCACCCAGAGGCGATTGCAGCCATCCAGAGCAAAGCCCTTTTCAGCAAGGCTGAGGAGCAGCTGCTGAGTAAAGTGGGATCGGTAAGGCTGAGTGCTGGGAAGGGTGGAGGATCAGGGCACAGGGAGAGCTGGACCACCTAGAAAACCACTGATGTGGGGAGCTTCCCACCCACTGTCTGGATGTGTGCACATGCACACTCGTGCACATCTGCAGGGGCCTTTGCGACAGGGGCCTCAGGAGGAGCCAAGCCTGACTCCCTAGGTGACTCTCTTGCTTCTTCCAGCTCCTCAGGGGTGCTGGGGTAAAAGGTAAAGATGGTAAAGCAGAGACGTGTGAAAAAGCCCAGATGCCTAGAGAATGTTTCTTGCCCTCCAGACCAGCCAGCCCACCTTGGAGACCTTCCAGGACCTGCTACACAGACACCCTGATGCCTTCTACTTGGCCCGTACCGCCAAGGCCCTGCAGGCCCACTGGCAGCTCATGAAGCAGTATTACCTGCTGGAGGACCAGACAGGTAACACCGCAGGAGCTGGCAGAACGGGGGTGTATGCACGTGCACGTGTGTGTGTGTCTCAAGTACTGTGGACACAGCTGCCTTCAAGTGCCCTGTAAGAAATTCCTCAGTGAGCTGTAGTGTCTTGTTCACCTCATTTTGCAACAAAAACTACTCCTTTCCAGAGGGAGAGAAAGTGGCTGGAAGTGTCTTCAGCATCATGGTAAGAGTAGCCAACGTTGCCTGGAATCTTGGGCAAAAAGTCCAGGTAGTGGAGTTATCTACCACTTCTTGTCTTTTGTTTTTTATGATATATTTATCCTTACATAAGTAACACATTAATATATTTCTTATGGATAACATTCAAACATGAGCAAAATAAGAAAGTCCACTTCCCTGCCACCCTTCGCTTTGTTTTCCACTCTAAAGGTAATAGCGACTTTTTCTGAGTTTTTCTGCCCTTTGCCTCTCTCTGTTCTTCCCTCTGTCTTCCTTCTTCCTTTTCTGTTCCCACTAGGCCGTCAGTGCTGTCCAGCTGCCCTCAGGCCTTCATAAATCCCCACTGGGACTTCACACCTAGTCCATCTGTCTCTCCCTTTCCCCAAGGGCCACACTGTTCCCTGCTTTCTCTCCTCACCAGCAGAGCACTCACTCTCCTGGTGGCAGGAGTAGGAAAGCAGTGTGATGAAATTGGAGGAACTCCCCAGTGAGGCTTGTGATTCGGTTTCTGATTTCCATAGTACAAGTGCATGCTCACTTTCTAAAAGTACTGCCCATTGCTTTCTATGTAGTTTTTCACACAGTTTGAACATGAAGCTTCAGTAGTACCCATCATCTCACTACCAGGGGTCCTACAGCTTCTGCTTAGGAAAAAATATTCCTGCAGGAGCATTTTAGGAAATCTTATCAGAGGGTGGCCCGATCTTCCATTCCTAAGGGCCTCTGGTTTTAGTGGCCCAGGGAGCAGTCCTGTTTATTCCCGCAGCTTCCAAAATTCTGCCTCTTCCTCAGACTCAGTTATCATAGAATTCCCGCAGAGAGAACAGATACTGACTGGATAACTTATTTTTGCTGCTAAAGCTAGCTTCTTTGTCACTATTTTGAAAGTTATTTTGTGTAAATATCTTTGTTAACTAAAAGCCTTATCATGAAAGTTTTATTTATTCAAGTTTTTATATATGAGGATTTGATTTCTCCTTTGCCCTTTAGAGCTAGGAGCCCCTAGGAACAGGGCAGTACACACTGCCTAGCTGTCAGTCAAGTCAGCTGAACATGGGATTGGTGGGACTCAGGCAGCTCTGGTGGGGAGGGACTTGTTGGGGGTGACGGACCCAATTCCCCCCCCAAACAGTCTCACCTCGGGGAGGAAGAGGAGCATCTGTGCCCCCTACACACTCCCCCTCACTTTCTCAGTTGACAGTTGCATGGCCACTAGCTGCTACAGCACGCACCCTGCAGCCCTGGGAATGGCCGGCTGAAAAGCAGAGGTTTTCAGATTTGAGGGGCCTTAATCCTTTTATTTTATTTTTAAGAGACAGGGTCTTGCTGTGTTGCCCAGCTGGACTTGAATTCTGGGCTCAAGAGATCTTCTTGCCTCAGGCTCTGATTAGTGCTGTGGGCATACACCACTGTGCCCAACTCCCTTTCACATTTTGGCCAGAAAAACGGAAAGACTTTCATGAAACAGTATTTATCCTGAGCATATCTGATGGGTTCTGATGCTCATTATCCTATCCATGACCTATTAGCACGTCATGACCCCAGATCAAGACCACATTGGCTTAAGGTGGGGCAGCACCTCATCAGCACATACTTTCTCAGTGGAACCTGGCTGGCATGTGCCTCCCAGCCCCTCACAGCATGGCAGGATGTGCTGGAGAGCATATGATGTGATGGAAGGAGAAGTTGAGATTTTGAATCGAGAGAACAGGATCTGAATCCTGGCTCCGTCCCAAACTAGGGTCACGTAGTTTAACACCCCTCCTGTGTCTGTTTCCTCACTTGTAAAATGGAGCTAATGGTAGTGCCTCCCCTGCTTAGTTCAAGGCTGTGTAATCAAGCCGTTTGCACATAGAGAAGCCCATACAAAAGATCAATTTAAATTTCCTTCCCTTTCTAGAACCACCTGTACCCTTAGCTAAGTCTAAAGATGCTTTGTGCCCCATGAGAGCCCAGCCTAATCTGGTATGGGCGCCCTCACCGGGGCTGGGCTCTCCACCGGGCATAGTTGCAGTTGGCCCACTTGGCTCAGGGGTCCCTCAGCAGCGTGGGCTTCAGCAGGACGCTTGGTGCTCACGCTGCCTCTGTCCTTTGTTCAGTGCAGCCACTGCCCAAAGGGGACCAAGTGCTGAACTTCTCTGATGCAGAGGACCTGATTGATGACAATAAGCTCAAGTGAGTGGCTGGGGACACAGGAAGGGGTGGAGAGAGCTGAGTCACTCCTGTCGGGTAGAGCGCCCCAGGCTGCCCGGCCCCAGCCCTTGGGCTCCCATCATAGCTATTGATGTTTGGCCAATAGGTATGAAACATTCTCTAGGCATCTGGGCTGCTTGGAGGTATACTGGAGCATACCTCCAGGCCGCTTGGCTAAAGGGGCTCAGGGATGCCCTAATGAGCCAAGTAGCAGGCAAGTTAAAAGTGGACCTAAATTTTCCTTCTCTTGCCCCTCAGAGACATGCGAGATGAGGTCCTGGAACATGGTAAGTGTGGCCTGATGGGGCAGTGAGGGGATGGAACCTCCTACCAGAATCAAGAGGACCAGTACAAGGTGCTGGTGGCCTCAGAGCACTCCTCCTTACCACCCCACCTCACCCCAGAGCTGATGGTGGCTGACCGGCGCCAGAAGCGAGAGATTCGGCAGCTGGAACAGGAACTGCATAAGTGGCAGGTGCTAGTGGACAGCATCACAGGTGAGGAGGACAGGGGACCAGAAGGCTCACTCTTCAACATCCTTCACGCCAGCCTGTGCCCCTGTTGCTGCCTGGCTGTGACTCCCTTCCAGGCCCCGACTCCCTTCCCTTATAAACCTTGCCCTGCTTCCCTGCCTTCCATTCTGGCCTCAAGGGTAGGCTCTTCCACATCCCCTTTTTCCCCAGGCATGAGCTCTCCGGACTTTGACAACCAGACACTGGCAGTGCTGCGGGGCCGCATGGTGCGGTACCTGATGCGCTCGCGAGAGGTGAGGCAGGCCCTCCCCATCCCCACCCTTCCTAGGCCTGCTTCCTCTGCCACTGCCTTTCTCTGTGTTGTCCTTGCGTTCTCATCTTTCTCTGGCCTGCATAGACCTACTCCCCCGCATTCTTCAGGTCCCAGCCCTCACCTGCCCCATTTCCCCAGATCACCCTGGGCAGAGCAACCAAGGATAACCAGATTGATGTGGACCTGTCTCTGGAGGGTCCTGCCTGGAAGATCTCCCGGAAACAAGGTATCCCTAACTCCCTGCCTTAGCAAGAAGCAGTGTGAGGATGTCCCTCCTAGCCTCTCGCTGTCCTTTCTAGCCCTGGGGCTTGGTGTCCATGGGGACCCTCATGGCCCACCTGGGGTAGGGGTTCCTTGGTGTCTGCAGGAAGTAGAGTTGGTCCGTGGAGGCTCCTGGCTTGCTCTGGCCTCTCCCCATCCCATCATCCTTTTTTCCTTTCTACTTCCACAGGTGTCATCAAGCTGAAGAACAATGGTGATTTCTTCATTGCCAATGAGGGTCGACGGCCCATCTACATTGATGGACGGCCGGTGCTGTGTGGCTCCAAATGGCGCCTCAGCAACAACTCTGTGGTGGAGGTGAGCCGGGGAGAAGGTGGGAAGGCCAGGATGAGACCTGGGCTTGGTGAGCCAGTATACCAGCCTGGCCCTGGTCCCACCTCTGTCTTAAGCCACCTTTGTCTCCCACCCAGATCGCCAGCCTGCGATTCGTCTTCCTCATCAACCAGGACCTCATTGCCCTCATCAGGGCCGAGGCTGCCAAGATCACACCACAGTGAGGAGTGGTGGCAGGACCCCTGGGCCCTCTCTGGCCTGTTTCCCCTGCCACTCCAGCCCCCTTGAGCTGGGAACTCAGGCTCCTGGAAAAACCTGCCCAGAGTGGGCAGTGTGAGGCTCAGCTGCAGGCCCATTGATTTGAGCCTTTGAGGGAGGATAGGGCTGGCCTTTGTGAATCCAGCAGAGGCTGAGACCCTCCCCCTCTTCCTCTCTCTAAAAACAACCCTATCCCCATTGCCACCTTCACTCCTGTGTCTCCAGCTGATTAGCTTCAGACTCATTTTTCTTTTGTAAATAAAAAGCACCAGGTTCCAAAGTAGTTTATTTTTTTTTAATATAAAAAATTGGGTACAGGTAGAGGCAGGGGCACATGCAAGGGATGGCAAAGCCCTTCCTTGTCCTCGGGCCTCTGCCCCCAGCCTGCAGAGGGAGACTGGGAGGTCAGAGGAGCAGGCTGAGGAGGGGCCTGGCCCAAGGCTCCAGCCTACCCTCTGAGAGTCAGGAACCAGGCCCTCCTTCCCTTCCAGGCTTTCTGCCCTAAGCCAGCGGGCAGCATGGAGTCCATGGGGTGGCTGCTACCCTTCCTTCACTCTGAGGTTGGGCCGAACAGCAGATGGCAGCACGCCTGGCAACACTAAGTTCTAGGGCTGGTATTCAGACCCCTGTGCCTTCTTCCTGGGTCCATTGGACTGTGCCAGAGCCGTGGCAGCCAATAAGCACCATCTCCAGGCTGTGGGGGTCCCAGGGCAAGGCCAGGCCCCCTGACCCTGGTGGGGGCTCTCCAGTGCTGGTAGCCTCAGCCTGGCTTACAGGCTCTGGGGGCCCAGTTCTACCCCCTTCCTCAGAAGGAGGAGGGGAGGCAGGGGTGCTGGGCTCAGAGCAGAGGTCTCCTGAGGCAGGGGGCTCTGAGTCTGAGGTGGAGGTCCAGAAAGCTGTGGCTCGAGGCCAGGGGGAGCTCTGAGACGCGGGGGGACCCCAGGGCCAGGGTGCCATGAGGGGAGGAGGCCCCGGACGAGGGTGGGGCCAAGTCCCACTCAAGACAGAGCCAGCTGGGGGCTGCAGGCAGTAGGAGGATGCCCCAGTGTCCACACACAGAGGCTGCAGAAGCCCGGAGGTGCTGGCTGGGTATGGCCCTTCTCCCGATGCCCGAGGGCATGGGCCCTCCCTGTGGGGTGCCAGAACAATCTGCACAGCCTGGCGAAGTGACTGCAGTCCTTCCCGCATCTGCAGCACTTGTTCGGACAGCTCTGTCACCTTCGGGGAGGGAGGAGGCGAGGTCAGAATGGAGTCAGCCATGGAATGCCTGCCCCTGGCCCCCCGCTCGCCTCCACCTTGCCCCTCACCCACCGCCTGCCGAAGCTTGTCCAATGTGTCTGTATTCCTTGCCTCGCTGGGCCCATGGGGGACAGTGAGCAGGCCGCTCTCTGTGGGCAGTAGTAGGATGGGGTTATCAGCCAGGGCTAGTAAGAGGAGACAGGCAGTGTGGGGTCCAGGCCCCTGCCCCAGTTAGACCACATTGACCTGGGAGGACCTGACTCCACGGATCATCTCTTCTGGCCTTGCCAGAGGTGCTGGATCTTGCCTGAACTTCCAGGGGCAGGGAAAACACTGCCCAGCAGCCCTCAAGCCACAGTGCCTAGCACTCTCCTCCTCCTCAAAAGTTTTTCTTTATGTCTGTCCCTTGCTCTGTCCTCCAGGCAAATGGACATTCCTGGGCGCTCATTACTTCCCTGGCCTGGAGCCACTTTCACCCCTGGTTCCCCTGCCCTTTATCCCCCAGTTAGCCAGACATTGTGCTAAGGCTTTCAGTAACATTATATAGCACAAACAACCCATTTTACAGACAGGAAGCTAGGGCCAGAGAAGCCAAATTCACACTGCTAGAAAGCTGACAGAGCAAGGATTAAACCCAGCTCCTGGCTGTGTCAAAATTAAAGTGCTGGTCTTCACCACCAAACTCGCCTGGCTGCACAGCACAGAAGCGTGATGGGGTGAGATGGCCTCCATGCAATCTGCTAGTTATCTCTTAACAGTGAAGGCTCAGAGGCCAACAGTGCTTGAGGTTCACAAGGCAAAGGGGCTGCCCCACCAACCTAGCCCATCCCAGGGCTCTGGTACCTGGTCCAGGGGAGGGGCTGCTGCTACACTCCGGGCCAGACTGGCCCACACGGAAAGAGAACTTGGGCTGGTCGGAGCCACAGCCGTCTTCAATGCCATCTACTACCCTGTGAACCCAGGCACCAGGACAACAAATCAGTGGACAGGCAGCCACTGTGGGGTCACAGGGGATGGGTTGCCCCAGCGTCCATACACACAGGCTACAGGAGCGCAGAACTGACCGGGAAGCCAGGAGAAACCTACATGGGTCCCTTCCCCTAGGTGCTTGTGGTTTAGATGGGGGCCAAGGTTGAGCAGCATGAGATGCCGAGTTGAGAGCAGCGTGTGCCATGTACCACACAGTGGAGTGGGGCAGCAAGGGAAAGAAGGAGCCACAGAAGGCTTACTGGAGGAGGCAGGCTTGGCCCACACAGGCTGGCGGGAGTTAAGACAGCTCTAGATGGGTACCTAGGGTGGGGTGCACCTGCCCAGGGCCTTAGGCTCATCACCACCATCTCTGCCATAGGGGCCTAGGGCCTGCTTACCTGGGGCTCAGATCCGGGGGCACATTCCATGGCATGGGGGGCAGCCGTAGCCCCTCTAGGGCCCGTGGGGGAGCAGAGGGGCCAGCCTCAGCCTTCAAAGCCCCTGCCCTGCCTGACCTCCCTCTACCACCTAGACGAGGCCGGGGTGCTGTTCGATGTGGGGATAGCAGCTTGGCAGCCGATGATGAGGAGGTGCAGCCAGGAGACAGCAGGGGGCTAGAGGGCTCATCAGCTGGGGCTGGGGAGACCGCGGGGCCCTGCTCCCCATCTGTCTCCTTCTCCTCCAGCGTGGACATAAGGGTGTTGTCACCGCTCAGGGAGCTGGTGTCCACCTAGGGAGAGTAGGGGATAGGAAATTGGCATATATGGCCACTAGTGTGTCCCACTCATCTCCCTTAACAAGACTTCATCTCCCCTGGAAGGGATGAGCTGTCTTTGTTAGAATAGCCGTCTGCCACCCTGCAGAAGAGGCCCAGTCAGGAAGGGTGACCTGCTTTTCTGCTGCTACCACAAAGCCACCAAGCCCTGGAGGTGTTAACTACCTCTCGAAATTCTAGCCACATACGGACACACCACCCCTCTACCAGGTCCCTCAGCCTAACTAAACTATCCAAGAGGATAGGGCACTAAAAACTAGTTTGGAATTAGTGACATAATCCAGGAAAATTCAAAAGCCCCTCAGAACAGTCCTGTTTCACCATGAAAAAGCAGAGGGGGCCACCGGGATCCCTTCAGAAGCAACCTGGAAGGCTGGTGCCCGTCCCTGCCCTGCTCAGCCCTGACCCCTGGAGCCACCCCTTCGTGTGCCTGCACCGGTGCCCTCACCTTCCTTCACTAAGATTCCTCTGGATTGGGCAAGGGTGCCTCAGGCCAAGGAGGGCTAGCAGGGGTGGTTGCACATGCTGGGCTGGGCGTGTGGGTGTGGAAGGGCAGAGGGTGTAGACCCCTGCCCAAGGTAGGGGCTTTCATACCAGGCCACGCTTTACACACAGCTCTCCACCAGCCCCAGCCTCTGCCCACCTCACCAGGCTCCCTGGCACCTCCAACCCCTCCAGCACATACTCAGCCTCCTCACCTCTGCAGAGCCTCCCCCAGCACCCAGGTTGTAGCTGAGCTCCCCTCGGAGGCCACGGCTGAAGCGCGGGGCAAACTCAGGGTAGAGCGCAAGGCTGTCGTGCAGGCCGGCCAGCTGCAGACACTGCAGGACGCAGTACGTCAGCCCCTTCACATCGGCATTGGCCTTTACCACCTGCTCCCGTCGGGGCAGCTCACAGCCGATCAGGTCGCCCTTCCCTAGGGAAAGGAAGCAGAGCTCAGCAAGCCCTAAGCCTCAGCCACGAAGACAGAAGAGGGGCCTGCAGGCTGCTGAGATTCCCTTCAGGGCTGGGCCGACCCTCTGTGGCAGAAGCCTTGGAGCCACCACAGAGAGGAGCAAAGAGGCCTGGGCCATGGCCTGATGCCTGTAGCCTGTCTCACTGGCTCCCACATGGGCTTCGGGTAAAGAGCTCTGTGACACAGGCCCTCAAACGCATTCAGAATCAAAAGCACTGTGCGGGAAACCCCGAATTTTAGCCCTGAGAGACTCTAGTGGTTCTCAGCTGGCTCTGTTGATTAGAATCACCTGGAAAAGTCAGACCAAACACCTAGGCTCCATCTCTACCTACAGTATCTATAGGAGACTCCACGGTCTGATTGTTTTTTAAGTCCCACAGGTGATTCAGGTGTTTGGAAGCAGCAGATTAGAGCCCCGTGTGCCACAGTGAAAATGCAAGGCAGCCAGGCTCACCTTCCTGCCCTAGCTGTGTCCACTCTACAAGATACGCTGCATTTAACTTAGTCTAGGGAATATTCTTGATCTCACCAGAAGGGGTCAATGGAGGTTTTCCCACAGCCAGGTTAAGACTGCCACCTGGCTGGCAGCAAGTATTAAATGGCATCAATTAGAGCTTGAGTGAGGCCTAATCTCAGAGATGTCAGCCGGGGGGGGCGGCAGGGGTGGGGTGGGTGAGATATGTGTCTTAGAATCAATGAAATAGGGTGTGTCTGTCCAGGGACAGGTTAAGGCTAAATTAGAGTTAACGTAGATAAAGTGCCTCATACAAAGATGACCAAAAAAAGATCATTTTCTTCCTTTCCCTTCCAGATAGAACCCCCTATAAATTGTTCCCGCTAGGTGCAGTGGCTCCCAACACTTTGGGAGTCCAAGGCAACTGATCACGTGAGCTCAAGAGTTTGAGACCAGCCTGGGCAACATGGCAAAATCCCATCTCTACAAAAAAAAAAAAAAAAAAAAAAAAAAATTTAGCTTGGTGTGGTGGTGTTCCTGGACAGACGGACAGACACACCCTATTTCATTGTTTCTAAGACACACATCTCACCCACCTCACCCCTGCCACCCCACCCAGGCTAACATCTCTGAGATTATGCCTCAGGCACCTGTAGTTCCAGCTACTCTGAAGACTGAGGTGGAAGGATCACTTGAGCCCAGAAGGTCAAAGCTGCCGTTAGCTGAGATCTCACCACCACACTCCAGCCTGGGCGACAGAGTGAGACCTGATCTCAGAAAAAAAAAAAAAAATCCTTTCCAGCAAGGATAGGTACGCAGTCTGGGCTTGGGCAGAGCACTCACTACCCTCAAGGCAGCTCAACCACCACCAGGCAGTTCAGACTGTTAGAGAGTGTTTCAAAAAGGATGGCCCTGCCGTGGACGCCCTCACACTACCAGCAGCACACACTGAGCTTAGATCTCCTCTACACGTTCCCGGACTTTTGCTCCAACTTGAGTATAGAATGCATCCCTGTTAGGCCGGGCGCGGTGGCTCACGCCTGTAATCCCATTGGGAAGCTGAGGTGGGTGGATCACTTGAAGTCAGGAGTTCGAGACAATCGTGACCAACATGGTGAAGCCCCATCTCTACTAAAAATACAAAAATTAGCTGGGCATGGTGGTGCATGCCTGTAGTCCCAGCTACTCGGGAGGCTGAGGAGGGAGAATCACTTGAACCCAGGAGGCAGAGGTTGCAGTGAGCCAAGATCATACCATTGCATTCCAACCTGGGCAACAAGAGCAAAACTCTGTCTCAAAAAAAAAAAAAAAAAAAAGAATGCACCCCTGTTAAATTTGATTTTCTTGGTTTCAGGCCGTCCTTCTGGGTCCTTTTGAGAGCTGTTTGGATCTCAATGTGATCATCTGGGGAATGCACTATCTTCTCATTTGTGGCATCTGAAATAGGATAAGCATGTGCTTCTTGTCTTCATCCATGAGGGGAGAGAAAATGAGAAACACGACAGGACCGAGGGCAGAGTTTCAGGACCAGAGACTGTCCTACAGGTGCAGCTCATCAAACTCCTTCCTTCCTCTCAGTGGACTTTGCCTATGCTTAGCTTCCAGCAGTTCATTAACAGAGGCGGGCGCCAGAACCCATAGCTGCTGGGAGCGGGCAGGATGAACTTGGAGGTTCGAGTAAAAAGGCAGGTGGGGAGAGGGTATGAAGGCAAAGCAGAGAACCAGGCCATGACTGGGGCCGGGGAACCAGGCAGTCACCAGGGCATCCAGAGCCTCCAAGTCAACAGGGAAGTAGTTCACCCAAAACATATAGGCAGTGACAGGATAGATCAATGGTGGCATAAGTCCTGGTGCTAGGGTCATTGTGGAGGCAAATGCCCAGGGCACAGGCTGTGGCCATTCTTGCAGCACTGAGTGCTGCACAGTGAACATGGCTATTCTGAGACGTGGTACCTGGCACCAGCAAAGGCTGCTCTGAGAGGACCTGCGCCAGCTCCCAGCCACACGACTTCCTCGGCTCCAGGCTGAAAACCATCTGTTTCATAATTCACTCAACAGTCCTGCTTTGGATTCACCCATCTACAATGGTGAAAATCTGTCTTTGTGCCCTTTGGAATCTCTCCAAGGAATGCCAACTACACTTGACTGGCATAACTCTATCTTCTCATGCTGGCATAAACTGTATCTAGGCTCAAAAGCTGGACTCGTGAAAGATGTAAAACAAAGGCTATGAACAGCCCACTCTCAGGGTCTAAGACCCCGATGGCATTTTTTCCCTCTTGTGTCCAGTTGGAAGGTCATCCTCCTCAAGGGAGGAAGGGTGGACACACAGTAGCTGCGTCTAGTAAATCCGTGCCACCTTCCTGGCCCTTTTCTGCTTCTTGGATTGATTGTTCATTGCCAGATGAGTGACAAACCTCAGCCCCTAGGCCTTATCAGTCCCCACAGTGAATCTACACATGCCTTGGCTGCCTGAGGATTCGATATGGTTGGCAGTGGTCAGGTCACCACCTCCCCACATACACGAGTCCTTGATGACCCACGCAGGCCTCATGTTCCTCATCCTCTATGGTCACCGTGATAGTAGTCTCTTGCAGCCACAGAGCTCTGCTCCCCTTAGTGACTTTCACTCTGTCACCCAGGCTGGAGTGCAGTGACACGATCTCGGCTCCATTGCAACCTCCATCTCCTGGGTTTAAACGATTCTCCTGTCTCAGCCTCCTGAGTAGCTTGGATTACAGGCGCCCACCACCATGCCCGGCTAATTTTTGTATTTTTAGTAGAAATGGGGTTTCTCCATGTTGGCGAGGCTAGTCTTTTTTTTTTTTTTTTGAGACAGGGTCTCGCTATGTTGCCCAGGCTGGAGTGCAATGGCTATTCACAGGCGCGATCCCACTACTGATCAGCACGGGAGTTTTGACCTGCTCTGTTTCCGACCTGGGCCGGTTCACCCCTCCTCAGGCAACCTGGTGGTCCCCGCTCCCGGGAGGTCACCATATTGATGCCGAACTTAGTGTGGACACCCGATTAGTGTAGCGCACTACAGCCCAGAACTCCTGGACTCAAGAGATCCTCCAGCCTCAGCCTCCCGAATAGCTGGGACTACAGACACGTGCCACCGCACCCGGGGAGGCTAGTCTTGAACTCCTGACTTCAAGTGATCGGCCTGCCTCGGCCTCCCAAAGTGCTGGGATTACAGGTGTGAGCCACCATGCTCGGCACTTTAGTAGCTTTTCACAAACGCGGCCCATGTCTCCCTGAGAGCTGGAATGTGCTTTCCTAAAGCCTAGGGTACACGCCAACCCTCCTGAGATGGCTTCCTCCCTGCCAGTCCTGGTTTCCCTCAGAACACCCAGGAGTCCCATGTAAGAAGCATGAGACTTGGAGCCAGGTGGATGGGGTCCCAACCCCGGTTGGTCAATTCCTAGCTGGTCATTAACCTCTCTGACCTTGGACTCCTGCTATGCAAAATAGGAAGAATGTGTTTATTACTATAAACGCTGTGAGCCCCTGTGATCAGCACCACTATTGTGTCCATTCCACACCTGCAATGTCTTCGTCTGTATCTAGGGAAGTGATTTCCCTTTTCACCTCCTTCTTTTGCCAAGAAGGGAAGTAGACCATTTCACCAGAACAACTCTCTCTGGCTGTTTGGAAACTGAGCTCTGTCACCCATCTGGGCTCTGTGATCTGCCCCAGGAAAGTACCATCTCACCATTCCTGGGGGAACACAAGTTGTTTCTCCCTTTTTTAGCCCTGCCTGACACTCTCCCCAGCACTTCCATCCCTAGCTTCTGACTTTCCTCCTGACAGGAAGGCCAGCTCCCCTCTGTCCCCCATACTGGCTCCTTTCAAAGGCTGGTCCTCCACTTGCTCAGCCCCAGGCACACTGGTGAGATCCTGTACTCCTTACACTGCCACCTTGCAGTCACTGGGTCTTCTCTGAGCTTTAACCAGGACTCCATGACTACTCCTGACTCCACCCTGGCTGTTTCTCTCTGTGGCCTGTGGAAGTCCTCTCTCTTTTCCACAGATCAGGGCCATGGTCTCACACACACCACAGATCAGGGCCATGGTCTCACACACACGTGCCCCTGTGCCCTCTCCCACCCTCACAAACCTAGGATGGCGAGCACGGTGCCACCCTTGAGCACCTCCATGGAGCCAGAGCAGACAAAGTAGAGGGCCTGCAGGGCATCGCCTTGGTGGATGAGGTACTCGCCCGGCGTGCAGAAGGCGGGCCGCAGGGCCAGGGACAGCGCCCGCAGGCAGCCGCGGCTGGCTGCCTCGAACAGCGGCAGCTGCAGGACCTCCTTGTGCAGGTGCATGGCGATGTCTGCGCGCAGCTCGTCAGGGAGGCTCTGCAGCAGCTGTGGGCAAGCAGGTGAGGGGTGGGGGTTGGGGGTGGCAGAAGAGGAGGTGTCCTCCAGCCAGCCCCTCTCCACCCTGGCAGGCTTCAGGAACAGAGGAGGCATGGGAGGGAGGGACCTGAGCCCTCTCACAACTCCAAGCTCCACACACGGTGGGGAGCCAGGAGGCTTCCTCCGCCTCCCTCACAATCACTTTAGCCGCCATGAGCAGCCCAGCTTCCCACCTCAGTGACCACTAAGCCCCCAGACCTAACTGGGGTTCACAGGCCCCTCCAAGCCTTCTTGGCTGCCCTCTGTCCCGTGCCATTGCCCCCAAGAGAGAAGGGAGGCACGGGCCAAAGTTCTGCATTCTTCATCCTCCTCCACTCCTGATAATTCTAGCCTACTGCAAAGCCCTTGAGGGCACACAGGCCAGGAAGCCCAGCCTTGGAGGCCGCACCTCAGTGGTGTCAATGCCGTTGTTCACGGCCCAAGTGGCCTGGAAGTACTCCAGCATGCGCTGCTTTAGGGGCTTGGGGATCCGGTGGATGCGGATGTAGTCGCGCAGGTCGCGCGTGCGGCTGTGGTACAGAAAGCGGCGGGCGTACATGCGCTGGATGATGGCCGTCACGTTCCCAAACACCACCGCGTGCATCAGGGCTGGGGGAGGGTGGCGAGAAGGGGTCACCTAGGGGACGTGGCCCGGCCTGACACCATGCTGGGCTCATCTGTCCCCGGCCCCGCACGCTCCTAGGCAAGGCCCGCGGGCCACTGTGCGGACGGAGTCTCCCCCAGCCCCGGCCTCGGGTTCCGCGGCCACATGAAGCGGAAGAGCCCCCGGCCTCGGGCCCCCCGGGATTGGGGGGTAGTGGGAGGGCGCCGCCTACCGGCGGAAGTCTGGGAGTGGCCCCGGGAAGGCACGCGCGGCCGGGCTCACCGCCGATGAGCATGGTGCAGATGGAGAAGATCTTCTCGGTGTCCGTGTTGGCGGACACGTTGCCGAAGCCCACGCTGGTAAGGCTGCTGAGCGCGAAGTAGAGGGAGGTGATGTAGGCGCTGCGCAGCGACGGGCCGCCCAGCAGCTCCAGCCCGGTCCCGTTGGCCTCGCTGCTGCTGCAGTTGTCACTCTGGCCGGAGCTGTTCCCTCCAGCTGGGCTCCGGCCCACCAGGTAGTAGGGGGTCTCCAGTCGGCGGGCCAGCTCCTGCAGCCAGCCTGAGCGGGGAACAGGAGGACTTGAGCAAGCAGGAAGACACGACTGCACTGTGGGCGAGGATGCGGGCCCGGGGGTGGGACACGCAGACACAGCCCCAGCCCCATGGCTTCCCGCCGCTTTGCCCCTTTGCTGGCAGCCCAGCACACCCTCTCCACCCCCTCAGCCCTCAGAAGAGCTGAGGCCTGTCATTTCCCCAGCCAGCTCCTGTTGGCACTGAGGATGACACAGGGAATTCACACCCTCCCCACCATGGTTGGCACCATCCCAGGTAACAGGCCCAGTCGGAGGGCCTGGCTGGTGTGGGCCAAAGGACTGGGATGCCCACTGCATTCAGCCACAGCCTCATCCCCAAAGATGGATGGTGAGGCCACCTCCGACCTCACCTCCACCTGTCCACCCAGACTCTCTTCCTGCATTTCTCCGAGTTCATCCGCTCCAGAAAGCCCTCCCTCCCCTCCCCTTTCAGTCTCATCCCTCCCTACAGCCACACAAACCACTCAGCCTCACAGGACGAGTTCCAAGCATGTCTGCATGGACAGGCACACACACTGCTAAGGCAACGCGTGTGCCCCACACAGTCGAGGAGACAAGGACACATGTGAGCCCCTTACAGCCACTCACACTGAAAAGACCTGTGTATGCTTCAGAAAGGGACAAAGGCACACTGATGCCTACACACTGTCGCACGAGGGGGGGTGGAGACACACTTTTGTGGACACGAGCACACAGGTAAATATATTTACACAGGTGTGCACATGTGCGCGCACACTCACATGTAGTCACAGGCCAGATTGGGCCACAGGGCAGAGGCTGGATTGCCCCTCAGCCCAACATTCTCCACCTGGCCTTGGCGCAGAGTAGGTCTGTGCACTGAGGTCTCTCCTGAGCCTGTGAGCTGGGAGTCACTCTTGAGCCTAGCTGAAGAGTTGCAGGAGCTCTAGGGTGTTGGGTGGGGTGGGGGTCCCAGGGTCGGCAGAGCTGGGGGCCATGGAGTGCAAGGGAGAGAGGGCTGACTGGCTAATCTAGAATGGTGAGGCAGAGGGTATGTGTGGCTGTGGCTTGGGGTCACAGGCTGCAGTGAGATCCCACCTCTCCACTTGTGCTCTGCCCCTCCCACCTCAGCTCAGACCCCGTACTTCACACACTCCCCAACACCTTAGGCACGTGGGTCCCTGTGGCCCCACACGCTTGTCATCTACCCACTCATTCATTCAGCAACCTCACACACTGTGTGCCAGGATCTGGGGTCCCACAGGAGCTCCCTGAGGGCTCCAGGTCAGAAGGGCAGATGATTTAGGGCCAGAGCTACATCTCAGAAGGGCCACACAGCAGGAAGGGACAGGAGCTTGAGTCAAGTCCCATGGGCTAGGGCTAGAAAGTTTCTGGAAGAAGGGACATTTGTGTTTGGTTTCAAAGGGTAGTTAGGGGGTTGATACAAATAAACCGAGGGGATCATTCCCGGTGGAGGGACAGGCATGAGTCAAACCAGGAGACTGAGACTTTAAGACAAGTACAGGCAAATAGCTCAGTTTGGCTAGAATGTGGGGTTAACACCGAGTGCATCAAATTCCAGGCTAAAGAACTTGGGGGGGGTGTAGTAAGGCCTATACCAAGGTGGGGGCTCACCCTCCTGTGGTCTGAGGTGTGCTATAAGAATGCAATGGACTCCTGAGAGCTAGACTGAAGTGACAGTTGAAAAAAGAAATAAAAAACGCAATGGAGTATGTGGTTGGGCACAGTGGCTCACACCTGTAATCCCAGTACTTTGGGAGGCCGAGGCGGGTAGATCACAAGGTCAGGAGTTTGAGACCAGCCTGGCCAACAAGGTGAAACCCATCTCTACTAAAATTAAAATTAGCCGGACATGATGGCACATGTCTGTAATCCCAGCTACTCAGGAGGCTGAGGCAGGAGAATTGCTTGAACCTGGAAGGCAGAGGCTGCAGTGAGCCAAGATCAAGATACTGTACTCCAGCCTGGGCGACCGAGCGAGACTCTGTCTCAAAAAACAAAAACAAAAACAAAAACAAAAAAACAAACAAAAAAACCAGAATGCAATGGAGTACATGAAACTCCTCTTCATGGTCATTGTTCAGTTGGCCTCTGAGGGTGAAGCCACCTGAAGCCAGATGCCCAGGATAGGGAAGGTGGGGAGAAGTAACAGGACACAGAGAAGGATGGCAGGGAGGCCTCTGATCTTTCAGTCTTGGCTAAGACTGAAAGATCAGCAGCCCCTGAAACTGAGGCCAGGATGGTGCCTCCAGGTGGGCGGGGTCAGGCCAGCAGGAGCTGTCCCAGAGGCTGGGGGCTTGCACACGGAGGAGTGCCCTGAGTTCTCTTCCTCAGTGCTCGGCACAGTCTTTTGAACATCCAGCCCACCTCCACTGGCCTAGTGGGAATCTGGGAAAGGAACTCTGTCCACATCATGGGCATTGGAAAAGGAAACCCAGGCAAGGAAGCCATGAAGAAGGAGCCGCCCACCAGACAGAACTGGGCTAGCCACCTATCCACCCACCTCAGCCTCACCTCCCCCTACAAGGAGCTCTCCTGCCAGGGCTGGAGTTGGAGAGGTCTGGGTTTGGTGCCAACCTGGTTAGGGGGCAGTTTCCCTGGAGAAAGAGAGGAGATGATGATGTGAAGAACTTGTAGTCTCTAAACATAGACTAGTACCAGCTCCAAATAGAATGAAGCCACCTGGAACTCAGGGGTCAAGGGTGAAAGAATACCATGCGTATCTGCAAGGGTCAACCCACCCTTGCCCACCCTGTGGGGTCCAGAGGCCCTTGGGAGCTAGAGGTGTTCTTAATGTCAGATCAGCAACCCCTGTGAGGTGGTTGGAAGAGAGGAGCCTCGTGGACACAAGACCAAGGGTGTCTGGGTCCCATTTCAAGGGGTGGGAGTGGACCTGGGGATCTGTGTCTCAGCCCACTTCGGGGGTGGTGGAGACAGGCTTTGTTTCACCACTGTCCATCTGCTGGCCCTCTGACAGTGTTTGCCGTGTGGCCGTCTGACCCCAGAGCAGCTGCCACCACAGGCTTCCTCTGGGAATGGCAGGCACCAAGGAGCTGACACTGCCTGGAGTGTCCTGGTTTCCACCTGCTCAGCAGCTAGAGCACTCAGGGAAAATTTCAAGCGGGCCCTCTGTGACACACAGAGGGCCTCCTGAGAGCTTGCAGAGGGAGAGAGGATTCACAGGAGCCTTGTAGTTCCCAGGGAACTGATCAAAGTGGGTTTCTACGGCTGACCTGGACACCTGGTGACTCCGCCAAAAAGCAGTTGTAAGAAGCCCCGTGCACCTGGAACCCCGGCTAAATGTCAGTTACCTGGAAGCTGACAGAGGACTAGAGGGCTGGGGAGGAAGAAGGCAAGTTTGATTTTAGATCTGAGGAGCCTTGAGAGTTAGAAACGGCTGGAATGGAATGGTTTGGCTAGAGAAAGGATGGAAGTAGAGATGCTTACGCAGTGGTGTCAGTGTAGTGGCCAAGGGAAAGTGAGGTGAAGGGGGAGAGCTACAAGGAAAGTCAGTCTGGAGACCCTGAAACTTAGAGAGGCTGGGAGGAGGCCAGCCAAGGGCTCCATCACCCACAGCTGACAGGAACTGTTGTTGGCTGGGTCAGGTGATATAGGGACTTCAAGGAGGATAAGGGTTTGGCCCCAGAAGGTCACTGTGACTTTCTGGGTGACATGTTGGGTGCAGAGGTGGGGGTGGAAGCCCTCCCAGCAGGAGTTAAGATGTGAGTAGGTGGTGAGCAGAGGGAGGAGCTGTGGAAGGAGAGGTGACATGAAGGAGAGTGAAGATGCAGAAAGGCTGCTTTTTAGGCTGGGGGAGAGCAGAGCTGCAGCAGGGAGAAATGTGGACTGCAGGTGACAAGAGAAAGGCAGGGGCCTTGGACGCCAAGGTGGTGGGGACAAGCTTAGAGAGGATGCAGGAGGAGGGGCAGGGAACACTAGGCATCAGAGGAACCCTGGAGGGCAGTGGCTCCCGGTTTGGCCTTCCCAGCGGGACAGGATTTAAGGAATGTGACCCACATTTGGCCACAGGAGGCCTGGATGGGTGACTGGGACTCCTTGGGCTTTCTCCACAAGGCCCAGCTGCTGGAGAACAGGCCTGTCACGTGGTGGTAGCTGTCACACTCATACCTGCACACCCTCTTCTCTGATTTGCACACATGCAGACTTGCACAGGTCCCTGACACCACGCATCTGCACACACACTTGCACTCACACTCCTCTGACCCGGTTGCACAACCCCCACCCCACTACATGCACAAGGAGCCTCCAGTACCAATCTCAGGCAGCTCCGATTCGCTGCTCTCGATCTCCCGCTGACCAATGTAAAACCAGATGCAGGCCACCCAGTGTGCGAGCAGGGCAAACACGGCCATGAGCAGTGTCAGCACTACAGCACTGTACTGTGAGTACCGGTCCAGCCTTGGGAGCAGGCGCAGGAGGCGCAGCAGGCGCACAGTCTTCAGCAGGTGGGCCCCGAAGTACTGAGATTCGGGGAGGGAGGGAGGGAGGGTCAGCCAGGCTGGCCCTCCCTGTCCCCCGGCAAAGCCCACCCACCCAGCCAGCCCAGCCACACTGACCACGTTGACCTTGAAGGCATGTAGCAGGTCAAAGGGCAGCGCCGCGATGACATCCAGCAGGAACCAGGTGGTGACGTAGTGGAGGCAAATAGACTTTGGGGCAAATACCACTTGGCCCGACTTGGACACGAATGTAGTACGGAAATTCAGCACAATGTCTGTGGGGATCCGGGTGGGAGTCAGCACTGGGCCAGGGGGACAGCCACTCTCGACTAGACACTGCTCCCTTTCTCCATAGTTGACACTGTCCCCGGCCCTTTCCATACATCATCTGACTTAGTTCTCACAGTAACTGTAACAGGGAGACAGCGTTTTGCCTATTTTACAAAGGAGGAATCTATTAATGGAGGCCCAGAGAGCTTTGACCAGCTCAGGGTCCTATAACTTGTAAGTGGCAGATGTTTAGAACCTAGGTCTGATTTCAAAGCTCACAGTTTACAAACGTGAGAAGGCAAGGGGGGTACTGTAGGACCCTGGAAGCCATGTGGACTATCCCCAGCAAAGCCCGTGGGTGCTGGCAGAGGGTGGGGTAGAAGGGGCAGAGTGCACGCACCAAGGATGAAGAGGACCTCCACGGCCAGGTCACAAACGCTGGGCGGGCCTCGGGCAGCACTGGGCTCCCGTGCTGTGCTCACACACACGCTGTAGGGCACGGTGACAGCCACATAGAGTGTGGCAAGCAGGATGAAGCCGTCCCAGGTGGCCCTCAGAGCCCCACAGTGCAACAGGATGAAGGGCGACTTCCGGATGGCGGCTACTTTGTACTCAGGCAAGTTTGGCTTCTCCCCAAACACCCCCTAGTGAGGCAGGGCAGGCCCAGGCAGAGAGGAAAGGATATTGGCACAGGCTGAGTTTGGCTAGAGTCTAGAACCGGCATCCACCTCCTTTCTCTCCCTGCATTCTCGAAGCAACATCTGCTGTGAGATGGCATCAGCGTCTCCATTTTACAGATTAGAAAACAGGATCAGGAAGGTTAAGTGACTTAGCTGAGGTCAGACAGCTGCTTAGGTGAGGAGCCAGGATTGAACCAAGGCCCATTTGACTCCCAGACCAGGACTTTCTTCTGTGTCTCTGATGGATCAGGCATGTGATCTTCCCTCCTTCAGTCCCACCCAACCCCCAGAGTGCTGGCAGGGCCTGGGTGGCCCCCAGGACATTTTCTCTGGTAGATCAGATTCCCTTTCCCCATCTCCTGTGTCTGCCCCTCCCCTCTCCCTTCAAACACACATCCCAGGGCTCAGCCCACCTTATTGAGCTTGTGCTTGCCCTTGGGCTGCTTCTGCAGGTGCCCAGACAGGTGGTAGAGCACGGCCCGGCTCCGCCGCCGGTTGGCATTGAAGCCTTTGGATCGTGCCCGGCCATATCGGCGCCGGCCACCACCTGCAAAAGAAGAGGGGCCCATAAAGATGACAGGTGGGTGCACACACACCCTAGCCCCTGGTTGGGTGTAGGACTGGTCTGCCTCATTGACCATTTAGATTGTTTAGAGTTGGGGGCTCAGGTATTCCTCACTTCCTGGGTTCACTTGCCCAGCCCAGCAATGGGCAGTCCTAGGAGTGCTGACAGACAATACCTCTAGGGTCTGCTTCCAGGAGGAGGAGGTTTGGACCAGGGATCTCTATGGGGAAAGACCTGGGACAGGAAGCGAGGAGGTAGCTCACAGGGGCAGGGTGGAGAACTAGCAGGAGGTCATCAGCAGAGGGGTGGGAACTTAGAGCAGCAGCCCAGGATCTAGTGCAGGGACCAGAGGGTGACAGTGAAGGCTGACATCATGGAGAGGCAGACCCAGCACTGGGAATGGGGAGTGGGAATGGAGAGTACCCCCGCATCCCCAAATGGCAAAGAGGACTTGACAGCTTTGCAACCTGCCCAAAGGCCTGCCCCCAGCCCTTGGAGGACACAAGAGGGGAACAACTCGAAGATCTCAAAAGCAGGCTCTGGCCAGAGCTCCACCCTCAGTCAGGTTTGCTGTAGGGAAAGAACCTGGCGGGTCTGTGCTCAACCTTATTAACTGGTCAGAAAGTCATGCTTCACGGGTACAATGGGGTTTGTTTGCTTTCAGTTTCTTAATAAAGTTGACTTAAAAACTCCAACTTCGTCTCAATCTGTCTATTTGGAAAAAATATTCCCATACTGAGGCATGTGGAGATGAGAGCAGCCCAGGCCTCTCAGGCAGCCCGAGCAGGAGTGAAATGAATGCAGGAGGCAGCGGGGACCCCCCCACCATGCTCAGACTTGGTGCCAAGGCCCCGCCCAGGCCTGTGGTACCCAACACCCCAACCATAGCACCTAAATGCACCTACCTGTCTCCTTCCATCTGTCGGGGCCCCCTCGGTTCTTGGTTTCACTGATGTCCTTGTGAGAGACCAGGAAGAGGGCCACCTCCCCTTTCTCATTCTTTATAGGTATTACATCCAGGAGACACCAGAACGGGAGCCCTGGACACAAAAACAAACTCAGCCCACCTCCCATTCTTGGCCCTGTCTAAGGTGACAGAGATCCTGGCTCCACTGACATCCTGGGCAAGACACAGGCAGGATCCAGTAGTTTCCTGGGGGAGGGGCTGGCAGTCCAGTTTCACTGTGGACGGGGTCTGATGGAATGGGGGGCTTCGGAGGCAGGAGGCAAGGGAGAGCAAACATAACCGTCAGATGTACAGATGTGCTCTGCCAAAATGCGGATGTTTTTCTGTTGGACGCGGGAAACCCAAGGTTGGAACTGAATACAAGCTGAGGCTAGGGTGAGGCAGGTAGAGATGAGGAGATGGAGCAAGAGGGGTTGGAAGGGGTGTTGGGGGGGATGGGAAAATGGGATGAGATGGGGAGATGGAGAAACTGGCAACAGAAAGGAGGAAGGACAGTGGATGGGGCTGGCGCCAGGTTGGGTGAGACTGCAAAGGAAGTCTGGCTGGCCAGGTGGCCCCTCACCGCTCTTCCGGTACAGGATCAGCTCAGCCTTGAACTCCTTGTGTTCGTCCAGGGCCTTGCGGATCTGTTGGCGGACGAGCTCACTGGTGTCTGGCCCATAAAGGAAGGAGCAGGCACAGCCCCGCTGCATGACCTCAGCCCGGGAGAAGCCCGTGAGGTCACAGAAGCCATCAGAGCAGTAGACCACGGGGAAGAGCCCCGCCACCTGGGCGTTGCCCAGCACGAAGTTACTGTCTGCAAGAGAGCACCTCTCAGAGGAGGTGTGGGGTGAAGGAGCAGGAGGCCTACCACCTCTCCTTTCCCAAATGCCTGCAACCAAAGACTGGGTTTTCCAAACCCCAGGAATCCTGTGTTAGGGCAGGGCTGTTTATGAATGGGAATCAGCGTGTGTCACCTGTGTGCCAGTGCCCTGCAGCAACTGTGAGTACATTCAAGGATCAGCACGTGTCAACTGAGGTCGGTGAATGAAGTGCTGTGCGGGCACTGTGCCCTCTGGAGGGTGTCCTGAGCAATGTGGGGTAAGGGTTGGGGTTGGGGATTCCCTAACGAGGACTATACTGCCAGCTCTAGGCCAGCCTCAGCCCCACCTCTACTTCTGCCAGGCTCACTCACCAGCCAGGTACCCAGGTTCGCTGTCTGGCTCCTCCCACTGGGACTCACCTGGACTGGGAGGCAACCCCAGGCCACCATACATCCTGCCCTCTGTGTCTTAGCCCTAGCTGCCTGACCTGGCTCAGGAATTAGTGAATGTAAGCAAGAATGGGGGTGTAAGAATGGTGACTGAGCAAGGGAGCCTACAGCCAGGAATGTATTGGGGAGTGGGGGGCACTGAATCAGCAGGCTGCAGGCGCCAAGCACACTGGCAAAGCAGATGGAGGAGCCCGGAGGGGGGAGAGCGCAGCGCTGGGCTCCCACCCCCTATCAGGAACTGGAGACCAAGGAGGACCTAGGCAGAGAGCTGGGAAGCCCCACGGGGAATGTGAGGGAGAGGAGGAGGGAGGGGCTTTCATCACGTACCCTGAGCTCAGAGCCCCCAGAACCCGGGATCCAGAGCTCAGGGAGCCTTCTCCAAACTTCCCCAGTCCTGATGGGAGTCCCCAGACCATCTTCTTGGGGCTAGATCTGCTCCCAGGTCTAGGGAGTTCAGACTATGAGATGGGCTTTGGACACACCACGCTCTCCTGAGTCCCGCCTACTCTATCTCCGTTTGCAAATCTCTTTTTAAAATCTGTTTTTTGAGCCCTCTTGGCCATTCCTGAGCACTGCTCACCCACCTCGCCCTACCCTGCCAGTCTGAGGGTGGTTGCTGAGACAGCGCCAGACGCAGGGGTGGGATGGGTCAGACTGACTAGGTTCGGGTTCGAGACCCGCTAACAGAGAGCATCCCAGGACCCACACTCAGGGACTTCTGGCCCTGTTGCCTCCAGTGTTGGCCCCAAACCTTGAACCTTCGGGGAAACGGCGCCTGGCAGGAGACAATGGCCCCAGCCGCAAGAGGGGTGGGGAGGGAGGAAAGAGTGAAAACAGGCGGGCGCCAGGCCACGCTGCTGGGGGTTCGGGGCAGGCGGGAGCCCTGGCAAGGGTCCGGCGGCCCGGCTGCGAGTGGGTGAGGGTCGGACTCACGCGTGCCGTCGAAGCGCGTAGCGATGGTGTCCAGGAAGGTGTTTTGCGGCGCCAGGAGGCCCCGCATGGCCGGCATCTTAGGCGCCCGCGGCTTCCCGCCCCATCCCTCCGGGGTGCGGGGACTCCGCACCGGGGGAGGGCGCCCAGCTCGGCCGCCCCCCGCCGGGCCCCGCGCTCCCTAGCGCAGCCGTCGGGGGGCAATGCCCAGGCTGGGATCCCGGGTCGCGCCGGCCGCGGGCGCGTGAGGGGGCGTCCGCGCCGTCGGGGCCCGGAGCATGGCGCGCGGCCCCTAGCGCCCTCGCGGCCCACGAATCCTGGGCTCCAGGCCCCGCGGCCGCGGCGCTCTCCGCACGGGCAGCGGCTCCAGTGTCTGCTGCAGGTGGGCTACCGCTCGGGCTCCGCTCGGCGCCGGCTCTCCGCAGCTCCCTCCGTCTGTCGGGGAGAAGCGGCAGCCTCCCTCCCACCCTCCCGCAGCCTGCACCGGGGTAACCATGGAGACGGGTCACACCCAGCCAGGGCCGCCTCCTTAAAGGGACAGGCCTCCCGCCGAGGGCTCCCCTCCCCTCGGGACCTTGGCGGGGGCTGGAAGGCGGCGGCCACCGGGACCCCACCCCGTGCGGCCTCCCCCTCCCCGGCCCTGGGAGAGCTATCTGCCAGCGCCCGGCCCGCTCTGGCTGACTTTGCCTCAGCCGCAGGGGCAAGGCATCTTTCTCTGAAGCCCAGGAGCTCTCTGAGAGCCTCCTAGCAGCCTCTCCTCCCCCGGCTGTAGGCAGTGGAAGATCCTCTCCCCGAGGAAAATGCAGTGGGCAAGGGGACAGGGCGACAGGCGCAGGTGAAGGCTCGGTGGGCGGCGGAGGCTGGGGCTCTAGAGGGGTCCAGCCGCACCCGGGAAATCTAAAATCAGATAGGGTGGGGGGGTTCTGCGCACAGCTGCCCGGTACTCGAGCCTTTCTCATCCTCAACTTGACCCTCTGGAAAATGGATCCAGCTGCTCCTAAGAGGTGTCCCGCGAGCAGGAGCTGTCGGGAAACCAGAGGGTGGGTAGCCCTAAGGATAAGGGTGAGGTGTCCTCCGTGTGACCCCGTGGGAGCAGAACTTCAGACCCTTTGTCCTGCCCCTTCATTTCCCTCTGGTATTTGTCACCTTTTGCCTTTCCTAAGTGCTAGAGGGTTGGGTGGCAAATACAGGGGGGACCGACAGGGGTCACACGCTGCGGAAAAACTTCCGAACCTTGTGCGTGCAGATCCCTGCACGAGGGGAGCGAGGAGCGCCGAGCCCCGCTCCTCACCCAGCTCAGTCCTGGAGAGCTCAGCGCGGGGAGCTGCCTGGGGAAGGCTGCAGGGAGCCCCTTCCTGGCGGGGCGGAGCCGGACCCCGGGCGGCAGTCGCTTGCGGGCCTCCGGCGCTGCGACGGTCCCCCGGACTAGCCTGCCAGCGCCGCTCCTCCTCCCTCCCACGATTTGCCAGCGAGCGCGGCTGCCGCCCGCGCCCAGAGGAGCCGCCGGGGCCAAAACAGCAATTTGTTCCCTAACGAGTGAAGCGGGAGCCTCAGCACCCCCCACCCCTCGAGACGCACCCACAGTCTCTAGCATCGGAAAGAAAGGAGTGTTCCCCATTCCACCTACCCCTCGTCAGCGTTGAGGGCCGAAGCCCCAGGCGCCTGTATCTAAATGAGCTGGCGCTTCGGGAAGGTCCAGCCATCTACTAAAAAGAGGGGCATTTTAGGACTCACTTCACTTTGAGACAGGATAAGGCCACAGTTGAAATTACCCACAGACTTGGGAACCAGCTCTGCCACCTGCTGTACCTGTGATTAAAAAATGTTCTTTTTAAATTTGCTCTGTATTATTATTATTATAATTTTTGAAACGGAGTCTCACTCTTGTAGCCCAGGCTGGACTGCATTGGCTCAATCTCCGCTCACTGCAACCTCTGCCTCCTGGGTTCATGCAAGTCTCCTGCCTCAGCCTCGAGAGTAGCTGGGACTACAGGCATAAGCCACCATGCCCAGCTAAGTTTTGTATTTTTAGTAGAGACAGGGTTTCACCACGTTGGCCAAGCTGGTCTCCAACTCCCGACCTCAGGTGATCCACCTGCCTTGGCCTCCCAAAGTGCTAGGATTACAGGCGTTAGCCACCACACCTGACCTGTCTGTGTGATGTCTAAAGGCAAGTTATTAACCCTTCTGTGACTCAGTTTTCTCATCTGTAAAATGAGGGTGCCAATAATAACACTGGAGGGTGGTAATGAGGATTCAGTAGGTCAGTATGTGTAGAGGACCTAGAACAGTGTGTGACACCTGCAATGTGCAAATGTTTGTTACTATCTGATTTTGAGTCTCCTAGGAGCCCTGTGAAACAGCCAGGGTGGGTGCTCCTTATGCTCCATTTCACAAAGGAAGAGCCAGAGCCAGATCCAGAGCCTTCTGAGAAAGAGAGAGAGAGAGAGAGGCAGACACAGGGAGAGAGAGAGAAAGAGGGAGAGGGAGAGGGAGGGATGGAGGGGGGGGAGAGAGAGAGAGAGAGAGAGAGAGAGAGAGAGATATTGAGAGAGGAAGAGAGAGACTTGCTCAAGGTAACATAGTTGGTAAATGACACAGCCAGGGTTCTAACCCTGACAGTCTCCCAGCCCTAGGTTGTTGGGTCTGCCTCTCTCTAGCCTAAGTGTGTGGGCATTCAGAGGACTGGTCGTCTGGGCTTGTGCAGCACGTCTGGGTGGTCCTGCACTTATCCCTGTAAAGCAAAAGTGTTTAGACTTTCAGGCTTCCAGCTCACCTGCCTGTGCTGGTTTTGGGCATTAAGCCAAACCAGACACCTTGGGTTAGGGTGAGCACTTTGAGTTAGACGGAATGTGTGGGGTGCCCCTGAGGATTACAGCAGCTTACACTTACTGAGCATTAACTTTGTGCCAGGCACTGTGCAAAGTGCTTTACTTGGATTATCCTATTAATCTTCATAATAGCTCTATGAGCTAGTTACTGCTATAACTGCCAATTCACAGATGAAAAACTTAGGGCAGAGAGGTCAAGTCCCTAGTCTGAGATGCGCTGCCTCCTCCTGCAGCTCCAGGCACAATGCCCACGTCATCCTTTGGTGCCCTGATTCCCACTTGCAGGAGAAGAAAATATACTCATACTTATGGAATGTTATTATCATTCTTATTGCAGAGTGAAAAGTCAAAGGCCTGTTTGGACCTTTAAACCCCTTCCCCCATTGCCCCTCAAAGAACTCATGTGAATGCGTACTGGGTGGGGGTGCTACCACCAACCCTTTCCCTTATCTGGCCTTTCTGTTTTAGATGAGCGTGATGAGCACAGGATCTCAGCCTACTGTCCTCTCTCTTCACCTTTACCCAGTACCTCAGATCTTCCTGCCAGACCTGGCTTTTTTTTTGTATGGGTTCCCTCAGCAATTAGTTACTAATTCCCTTTTTTTCCTATTCTTTATTTATTTATTTATTTATTTATTTTGAGACGGAGTTTCGCTCTTATTACCCAGTCTGGAGTGCAATGGCACGATCTCGGCTCACCGCAACCTCCGCCTCCCAGGTTCAGGCAATTCTCCTGCCCCAGCCTCCTGAGTAGCTGGGATTACAGGCACGCACCACCATGCCCAGCTAATGTTTTTGTATTTTTAGTAGAGACGGGGTTTCACCATGTTGACCAGGATGGTCTCGATCTCTTGACCTCGTGATCCACCCGCCTCGGCCTCCCAAAGTGCTGGGATTACAGGCGTGAGCCACCACGCCCGGCCCCTATTCTTTATTTTTAAAAAATATTTTGTTTTTTCTCTTTTATTCTTTTAAGTCCCTATCTTTTCCTTCCACCTTCCCTCCAACTCCCAACCCAGAGCACAAAGGGCAGAGACCCACATTTAGGAGAGAGTAAGATGGGGATTGGGGAGTTGAAAATTAAGCAGGGACCTGGGAGATGGGCACCATAGTCATCCTCACTGTAACTCCTTTTCCTCTCCCCTTCTGCCAGCTCTTGACTCATTTGGCACCGTGGGGAGTCACAGGGAGGGGAAGGTTGAGGAGGATCCCTGTTCAGAGATGCTCAAAGCCTCTGTCAACAAGAAGAAACTCAGGAGGCTGCATTTTGGAGCTGCTGTGGGAGGCCTGTGGGAGTATTAGCTACAAAAAGGAATAAGGAGAGAGAGTAGGGAAGCGCAAAGCAAGGAAAAAACGGCTCAAGACACAAAGGAAGGAAAAAGCCCCCCCACCCCCCAACCACAATGCGCAGGCGGAGTCAGACGCTGTGTTCAGGGAGTGGGAACAGGCTGTCGAGGAACAGAGCCCAGGGCCCCTCCCCCCTCCCCATCCTCTTCCCACTCTCTCTACCTTTCTCTTTAGAGGTCCCTAGGCCTGTTCTCCAAGCCTGGCTCTCAGCCAGCGAGGCCAGGCTCTTCTTCTAAGGTTGGGCTGTATGGTGGAAAATCTTGGGCTTTCAAGTCAGACTAGTTAGGGTTCCAATCTGGTTCTGCCGCTGGCCAGCCAGGAGACCTGGGGTGGCCAGAGAGGTACTTTATCCTGCTGAGCATCTGGTCTTTTGATTTGTGAAATGAACCTTAGCCAGCTATTATTTTAAAAAAGCCCTGGTCCAGCTTCACCAACATGGTGAAACCCCATCTCTACTAAAAATACAAAAATTAGCAGGGCATGGTGGCACATGCCTGTAGTCCCAGCTACTCAGGAGGCTGAAGCAGGCGAGTCTCTTGAACCAAGGAGGCAGAGATTGCAGTAAGCTAAGATCGTGCTACTGCACTCCAGCCTGGGTGACGCAGCCAGACTCTGTCTCAACAACAACAACAACAACAACAACAACAACAACAACAACAACTACTTCCTGGCTCTCGATGCTGGGACCAGGGAAATAAGCTCAGGATGGAGCCTCAGGGGTTCCCCTTCCCCACCAAAACAAACAAAACATTTTGGAATTATTTGAGCCTCCACTACTTGGCCACACTTTGGCTGTCTCATTCTAGGCTATTCCTTTTCTTTTATTGGAGACACTAGCTAGAGTGGGCACAGACCACAATCAACTTTCTTTTTTTCTTTTTTTTTTTTTTTGAGATGGAGTTTCACTCATGTTACCCAGGCTGGAGTGCAATGGCGCGATCTCGGCTCACTGCAACCTCCGCCTCCTGGGTTCAGGCAATTCTCCTGCCTCAGCCTCCTGAGTAGCTGGGATTACAGGCACGCACCACCATGCCCAGCTAATTTTTTGTATTTTTAGTAGAGACGGGGTTTCACCATGTTGACCAGGATGGTCTCGATCTCTTGACCTCGTGATCCACCCGCCTCGGCCTCCCAAAGTGCTGGGATTACAGGCTTGAGCCACCGCGCCCGGCCTTCTTTTTTTTTTTTTTGAGACGGAGTTTCGCTCTTGTTACCCAGGCTGGAGTGCAATGGCGCAATCTCAGCTCACCGCAACCTCCATCTCCTGGGTTCAGGCAATTCTCCTGCCTCAGCCTCCTGAGTAGCTGGGATTACAGGCACGCGCCACCATGCCCAGCTGATTTTTGTATTTTTAGTAGAGATGGGGTTTCACCATGTTGACCAGGATGGTCTCGATCTCTTGACCTCGTGATCCACCCGCCTCGGCCTCCCAAAGTGCTGGGATTACAGGCTTGAGCCACCGCGCCCGGCCAACTTTCTTTTTTTCTATTTATTTTTTGAGAAGGAGTCTCGCTCTTGTGGCCCAGGATGGAGTGTAGTGGCATGATTTCAACTCACTGCAACCTCTGCCTCCTGGGTTCAAACAATTAGCTTGCCTCAGCCTCTTAAGCAGCTTGGATTACAGGTGCATGCCACCACGCCCAGCTAATTTTTAAATTTTTAGTAGAGCTGGGGTTTCACCATGTTGACCATGCTGGTCTTGAACT